AACTTGTCAGCTGTCAATATAGCACATAACCTCCTTGAGCGCTTAGCCTTGGAGCAGGTAGAATGGAGATCAATGTGTTTTAATGGACTCAGCAGTTTTCAATTGCTTATCTGAATCATCTACAAGAAGCGAGAGCAAGAACTATAAAATCAGCCAATCTAACAGGGAGCTCATCTCACAATCCTCACTCTTGCTCCATATGTGGCATCCTTTGTAAATCACTAGCGGGTCTTAAATGTCACTTAAGATTATCGCACAAACTTACATAACTGAATCAATAAGCTGTCAGATCCTCATACGTTGAAACCAACAGGAGAGTTCATTATTTTTATTATTATTTTTATTTTCTTTGATTTCTGGCGTTTACACATTTCTTTCCGGGTCCCGCCCAGGGACCTAAGGTTAGAAATGGCGTCATGACACTTTTCCACTGACAAAAAAAAAAAAAAAAAAAAAAAAAAATTAAATTACATAGATAAAGCCCTTCGTAAGGGTGTGGGCTGTACTTGTCAGAACAATTTTTTATCTTCTTGAGGCATGGACTTCCAGGAATCCCTTCAATTAGTCTACTGCAATCTATTCCAACCAGTCCTAGGGCTCCAACTACAAAAGGGATTGTTGATGTTCCCATATGCCACATTTTCCGAGATTTCTATTTCAAGGTTCTTGTAATTTGACAACATTTGAATATCTTCAAAAGATACATTGCAGTCAGCAGGAACTGCCATATCAATAAGGAGGCACCGTTTTTGTTTGTGGTCTTTAATAACAATATCTGGCCGGTTGGGCTTGATTGTTCTCTCCGTATGTATTGTGTAGTCCCATAGAATTGTAACAGGTCCTATCTCCGTAACAGGGTCTGGGTGGTGTTCATAAGAAAACTTCTTTCAGTTTCCTTCCGTAGAAGTTGCAGATTTTCCAGTGCAGATATTATATTAGACTATTATTATTATTATTATTATTATTATTATACACACTATATATATATACACTATAGATATATAAATATATATATGTATATACTCTATATATATAGATATATATATATATATATATATACACACACACACTAGATATACACACCATTTATATACACTATAATTATACACACTATATATATACACTATATATATGCACTATATATATCCACTATATATATATATATATATTATATATATATATAACTATATTTATGAGACACTATATATAAAAGATAATATATATATATATATATATATATATATATATATAATTATACACACCATATACATAGATATTTACAGAAGATATATATATATATATATATATATATATATATATATATATATATATATATATATATTCATATGAGACCTCACTATTTCTGGTGTAGTATTTTTTACTATTTCGAATACACAGAAATGGCTTTATGCCTTTACAGTATTTTATTTCCGCAATTATCTTAATGTAGATATCCGTCCGTTATATATATATATGTCTGTTTGTTTCAAGTCAAATTCTCCAATCCACGTGGGCGGACAATTTTACGAACAAGCAGAAAAAGAAAATGCATTATCTAATAAGATAGACAAAAGAGCGTTTCGTTTATTTATCGCTTTGTTTTTTTTTTCTGCCATCCTCTCCCCTTCCGAATATTTGTCGACCAAAAGTGTATTTCCATATCATGCTGCAAATAAAGAAAGATAAATATTTGTACAAGCAGAAACAAATGGCATTTTTTTTCTGTTTGGCGCGTAAAAAGAAAGTTTCAAATATATCTTGGAGAAAAGAAGTGAGTGTTAATAAGGAACTCCAAGAGCGCGAGAAAGTAACGGACTTAAGCTGTCAGTATTTCGTTATTAATTTGTTCAATTTATAAAGTTGTAGGTGACATAACGATTAACAGCTGGGAAAAATGGAGCAAGCGAACCGAGTTCTAACGCCTGCTGATGCAGGTTTCACTTCAAACTCATGTTCTTGGGAAAAGGATGAATCTATATCTTTCCCCAACCTATAGATTAAATAACAGAAAAAGCTGCGTTCTTTAGCCCTGTCACAACTACTTAAAAATCAATAAGATTTAACCAAAACAAAACCAAATTTATAACGATATTAAACATGAAACAGGAAATGGCCTGTAAAATAGTCCCTAAAATAGATACACTCCTGGTCAAAATCTTAAGACCAGATACAAAAGGGTTTAAGAAAATATAAAATACTGTTACTTTAATCAGAATATATTTGCGAAACATTTATATTTAACTAGGAAAGGTAGTCTATCAACAAACAAGTGAAAATTTTAAGTTTTAACTGACTAGTTCTAAAATTTTTGTCCAGTAATTTGTTTTTTCATACAGGGTCTTATCTTTATGAGCAACCAAAAAAAAAAATCGTTTTTTCACTGTTTGAAATAATATCTTCTCGGCATTAAATAATCCATTGAGTTTGATACTCACTGGATCTAACCAATGCCTTTATCCATTAGGTCACGTGTCTTTGATGACGATGAAGATGAGTATAACGGTCCGAGTAATGTAAATAATAGAAGGAACGTCAAAAAGGTTGATAAGCTGTAAAAAATCGATCAACCAATCAATAAAGCCTCTTTTCTCATTACGTGGCCTAGAAATTTCAACTTTTTTTTTCTGATATTAACATCAGAAAAAGAAAGTTGAAATTCATAGTATAAGTGTCCTTTTTGCTTACATTATTTATATTCGGACTGTTGTCCTCATCTTGTTTGTTTTTATCATTGGGTTGGACAGTGGTATTTATACTCAGTTTAAACGGATGAACAATAACTGAAAATTACTAAATAAAATAGGAACTAGACGAAATCCTTCGACATGAGTATTGGAAGAAGAAGAGTCTATATCCCTTGATTAAATAAAGAGTTCAGTTCAGAATGTTCTGTAGGCTTCAAAGATCGATATACACCTTAGGAAGGCCGGAGAGCTCAACGGCGAAACGCTGTGATAAAAAAACAAGAACGATGGGGATAATAGCCCGAATATAAATAGTATGCATAATAATAACTCCTCATTCCAGAAAATCCCCAAAATGGGATCTTTCTGTTTCCATCTACTTCGAAAGGTAAAGACGATAAACGCCATCCGCGTCTTGGGTGAGACGATAAACTACGTCCAACAGCAGGGACTGGGAGGTTTTGAGGAGCGTGGAATCGCCTCTAGGTGACGGCTGTTACCAGGTCTACCCTGGCCTGGGGTGGTGGCACCTGTTGGGGTCCCAACTATGGGAAAGTAGTTAACCACCAAAATGGGATCAAAGCACGATGAAAAATAGGTTTTAATACCAGCAATTTATTTTTGTAAAAAATTATTACCAGCAATGAATTATTGAAGAAATATATTATTACCAGCAGTACATTTTTGTAAAAGAATATTAGCAGAAATAAAAATTTTATCAGCATTTAATAACCCATTGAGGTGTTGACATGCCATAAGACAAACCAAACCAAACCAAACCAAACCTTAGGAATAACCTTAAAAATACAATCATCGCAATGACTAACTTCCAACGGAAATCAATATTTAGTTGAGAGTCTAATTAAATCCGTAGCACCACCATTTTTGTCTTTGACTTTCTAATTACTGGACTTGCAGGAAATATTGATACAAAACAAAGCTGAATTTAGCAGTCTTCCTCTTTGTACAATTCCTTACTTCATTAATCATTTGATGAATGTCGTTCCGTCATCAGATATCTGATAGAACTAATTTAGACTAATTTAGTGCTTAACTAAATCATTCACTCACGGCGTGAAACGGAGACGAGACACGGTTTCTTTTGCAATTTCATTGATTGAAAGAGACAATCAAATATGACATTTTTCAGCTGAATATTGACGAGAAATCACTGTAAAAGGTACACGTTTTTCCTATTTAGATTTGTTCATGAATTTCAATTCTTCAGTTAGAACTGGAAAAAAGATAACTATTCAGTAAGTAAACAAAATGAACTCTTAGAATAGAAAAAAAAAGTGTAGCATCCTGCTACCACTTTCTTATCAATGTCTAATTTTGTACATTTTTGTGCAAAAAAGTGGATCAGAGAGCCTTCTCAGCTTAGTAAATATTTTCAGGAAATATCAGCTTCTAATTGGTCAATAAACACACAAGTGGGCGTTGCGATCCACCCACGTACAAATAATATTCCAACGCGTGACCAAATCAAGTTTTCCTGCCATGTTCTTTTGGTCCTGTCACGTGATTACATTATCTATAAATAGTAGACACGAGTTCGCTCATTCTCTTTTAATCTTCCAAATTCCTGCGAAGATGTGATCTTAAGGATTCTCGTCTCGACCATGAGCGTCAGACATTAAAAGCATATTCACACATGCAAGAACGTATGAACTTTTCCAACCTACATTACAAACATGCAGAACATTTCCAAACATGCAACAATAACTTTTCTCTTTGAAATATTCTTCTAAAACTACAGTTTATTCAGCATTTCTCAGTTTTTAATTAATTCAATTTTTGTGAGTTCAGATAAAAATATTCCCAGTCTAAGAGACATAACGCCAACAGATCTTTAACTTCTACGCATGTACATCAACACACAAATAAATACAAATATTGTTTTTAAAAGCATTTTTGTTCCTTCTTGTATTTCATGTTTTGTGGTATTTTATGTTAAATATAAATTGTGTGGTCATGTTATTCACGCAGCGGTAAACAAACATCTACAATTGTCCATTCTTATTACCAAGTCACTACATTATGGTGACCACCGACTTCATAAACGGGGCGAGAGAAACAACTAGACCACTACAAAAGTAAGTAAAGGAAATCAACTATCAGAATTGGAAAAAGATAGCTATTCAATAAGTAAACAAAATAAACTGTCAAGATTGAGAAAAGATAGTTGGTCTGTAATTAAAGAATATAAAATGCCAGAACAGAAAAAAATATGAATATTAAGTAGCAAACAAATAAAACTATCAAAACTAAAAAAGATTGCTATTCAGTAAGTAAACAAATAAAATGAAAAAATGGCTATTCTGTAAGTAAATGAAATAAAATGTCATTACAGAAAAAAAAGACAGCTATTGAGAAAAGAAAAGAACATAAAATGTCAGAATAGGAAAAAGAGAGGTACTCGGTAAGTAAAGAAAATAATCCCTCAGAACAGAAAAAAAGAGAGGTACTCGGTAAATAAACAAAATAATCTCTCAGGACAGAAAAACGAGACGTACTCGGTAAGTCAACAAAATAATCTCTCAGGACAGAAAAAAAGAGAGGTACTCGGTAAGTAAACAAAATAATCCCCCAGGATAGAAATAAAGAGGTACTCGGTAAGTAAGCAAAATAATCTCTCAGAACAGAAAAAAGAGAGGTATTCGGTAAGTAAACAAATAATCTCTGAGAACAGTAAAAAGAGAGGTACTCGGTAAGTAAACAAAATAATCTCTCAAAACAGAAAAGAGAGGTACTTGGTAATAAACAAAATAATCCCTTACAACCAAACAAAGACAGGTACTCTCTAAGTAAATAAAATAATCCCTTAGAACAGAAAAGAGAGGTACTCGGTAAGTAAACAAAATTATCTCTCAAAACAGAGAAAAAAGAGATGTACTCGGTAAGTAAATAAAATACCCCAGGACAGAAATAGAGTGGTACTCGGTAAGTAAGCAAAATAATCCTTCAGAACAGAAAAAAAGCGAGGTACTCGGTAAGTAAACAAATAATCTCTCAGAACAGTAAAAAGAGAGGTACTCGGTAAGTAAAGAAAATAATCTCTCAAAACAGAAAAAGAGAGGTACTTGGTAATAAACAAAATAATCCCTTACAACCGAAAAAAGAGAGGTACTCTGTAAGTAAACAAAATAATCCATCAGAACAGAAAAAAGAGAGGTACTCGGTAAATAAACAAAACAATCTCTCAGAACAGACAAAAGTGAAGTACTCGGTAGGTAAAAAAAAATATCCCTCAGAACAGAAAAAGAGAGGTACACGGTAAGTCAGCAAAATAATCTCACAGAAAAGAAAAAAGAGATGTACTCGGCAAGCAAATAAAATAATCACCCAGAACCGAAATAAGAGAGGTACTCGGTAAGTAAACAAAATAATCCCTCAGAACAGAAAAAGAGAGGGAATCGGTAAGAAACAAAATAATCACTCTAACCGAAAAAACAGAAGTACTCGGTAAGTAAACAAAATAATCTCTCAGAACAGGCAAAAGATAGGTACACGGCAATTAAACAACATAATCCCCAGAAGAGCAAAAAGTGAGGTACTCAGCAAGTAAGCAAAATATTCCCTCGGAACAGAAAAAGATAGGTACTTGGTAAGTAAACAAAATAATCTCCCAGAATAGAAAAAAGTTAACTCTTCAGTGGGTAAACAAATAAACTGAAAGAACTTAGAAATGTTAACTATTCTGTAACTAAACGAAAGAAAGTCTGCTAATTGAAAAAGATAGCTATTTAGTAATTAACTAAAATAATCTCTCAAAACAGAAAAATGTTCGCTATTAAGTAATTAAACATATTTAACTCTCAGAACTGAGAAAATATAGTTATTCAGTAAATAAAATAAATAAATTGTCAGAACGGTAAAAAATAGCCATTCTGGAAGTAAACGAATTATGGTGTCAGTAAACAAAATATACTGTCAAAACGGTAAAAAGATGCCGATTCAGTAAGTAAATAAAGATAGCTTTTCAGTAAGTAAACAAAATCGCCTATCAGAACTGGAAAAGGTAGTTATTCGATAAGTAAACAAATTAAACTGTCAGGATTGAAAAAAGACAGCTGATTTGTAATAAACAAAATAAGTGTTAGAACAGAAAAAATGACTATTTATTAGTAAACAAATAAAACTGACAGAAATAAAAAAAAGAGATATCTACTTAGTAAGAAAACAAATAAAACTGAAAAAAAAAAATGACTAATTAGTCAGTAAACGAAATAAACTGCCTGAACAGTAAAAGATAGGTATTGAGTAAGTAAACGAAAAAACATTTCAGAACAGACAAAAAAATAAATATTCTGTAAGTAAAAACAAAACAGACTCGGTACTGAAAAAGGTTTCTATACAATAAGTAAACATATTTAACTGAAAGAACTTAAAAAATGAAGCTATTCAGCAAGTCAAATAAATAAACAGAACAGAAAAAGATAGCTATTCGGTAAATTATATTGCCCGAAAAGGACATATTTGTTCGAAATAGCCAAGTGATTGTTGACTACTGTAACCGAGTAGAACAATCTAGCAGGTAACCGTAATTGAATGTACCTCGTTGTAGTGGTAGACAATAGTCGTAGACAATAGGCGTAGACAATAGGCGTCCCTGTACCTCCACATCAGTCTGTATTTATGACTGACACCAGCCAATCATATTACTGTGAAGGGGGAACCCAGGTGTATGCATATTCATTATATCAGTAATTAAATAAAATAAACCGACTGAACGGAAAATAGATAGCTATTCACTAAGTACGCCGCATAAACTGTCAGTACTAAAAAAAAGATATCCAGCAACTGAAGTAAACAAACTGTTAAAAGTGAAAAAAGATAGCTATTCACTAAGTAAACGAATTAAACGCTCACAACAGAAAAAGAGAGCTATTAAGTAAAAACGATATCTATTCTATAAGTAAACAAAATATACTGTCAGAACAAAAAAAATGCTATTCAGTAAATATTAAAAAAATACTCTCCGAACTGAAAAAAATGAGAGCTAATTAGTTAGTAAACTAAAAATGGCAGAACTGAAAAAATATAGCTGTCAGGTCGTAGACAATCATGGGTCTCCATTTGCCACTTTTCCTCAATAAGTTTCGTCCTTCTGCCACCTCTCCCAGGCCATGTTCTCTCATCCACTTGCTTAAGCCCGCTAGGTATGTCATGCATTGCATTCATTTATCCCTCTTTCCCTCTGTTTGACCTGTGAGTATCAGAATTTCCAAGCATTCATTCCTCATTACGTGACCCAGAAACTTCAGCTGCTTTTTGCTGATGTCAAGTATAAGCTTGCTCCTAGTCTGCATCCTCTCTAAGCCTCATGTTCGGTCTATGGTATCCTCAGCATCCTTCTGTAGAAGCATACCTCCGTTACCTCGTGTCTCTTCTTCATCTTTGAGGTGACCATCTAACATTCGCTGCCCTAAAGGAGGACAGATGTCACGTAACAGCTCAATAATTCCACATTCAGTATACCCTTGCGTACGATTGGCCTTTATTCCCTTGCTTTGGGTGAAATGATAAAACAACTTTTTTTCATGACATTTTTTTCTTATTAGTTTTTTTTTTTTTTTGACGATTTCCCTTTCTTTTGACACTTTGAAGAACGCCAACATTTGGCAGGAAGGCCACTGATCGGGAGATTGGAGGTCTTGAGGAGCGTGGAGCCATCACCTAATTGCTGACCCAAGGTGGTAGTACCTGTTAGGGTCCCAGTTATGGGCAAGTAGTGAACACCAAACAAATCTCAACAGTACATTTTTATAATAAAATTACCAACAATACATTTTTGTAGAGAAATTACCAGCAATACCTTTTATCATTCAGATCAGGCATGGGCAACCTTTTTTCGAGTAGTGGGTCGCATGATTTATGACTCATCACAAGGCGGACCTTTCTTTCTAAGAAGATTTAAAGTAAATTTACGTTGTAAGTACCTCAGCTGTTTTCCCTACAGAAGATCATAAGCGTAAGAATATACCTTTGAAATGGTAGGAAAGTTTTATTCTTTAGAAAAGATTTTTTTATGATTAAAAACTGAAGTATTGGTGCAGTATTAACACTGGTGACAGTATGATTAATAATATTAACACTGTACGATTAATGATATTTAATAATATTTAATAGTGTGATTAATAATATTAACACTGATGACCATGTAATTGATTACAGTGGCTGCATGTTATTTACTTCTAATTTATTTGAAAATGAAAACATTTTTTCTTTAGAGAAAATATTCTTATGAACGTTTCTTCTTTCAAAAGCAAAAGATGCTTTTATGTATGGTCTTCCATAGTGAAAATCACCAATGGGTGAAAAGGCTGATAAAGTTAGTTTCCACAAAAGTTTACAAAATTCAAGAAACATCGATACTTAATCATTTTTTATGCATGAGAGAGTGTTTGAGTGAACTAGCGACAGTGAAATATAACAAGATTTTAATAAACGTCATTTTCCTTATGAAATTATTCTTGCTATTCAGAAAGACCAAACGGCTCGCATGTGGCTCACGGCCCGCAGTTTGCCCAGGACTGTTTTAGACAAAACTAATACTTTCAAGCAAACAAATATGATAATCAATACCTGAACAGAAATAAAACAGAATGCATGGTTGTTAGCAAAAGGGACAGCCCAATATGCAAATTACACATTGGGGATACCAAAATCAAACAGGTAAACAATTTAAATATCTGCAAAGTGTTTTAATAGAGGACTGAAAATGCGATGCCGAAATCCGAAATTTGTCATATAATATAGATCCGCCTATATGACAGTGAATGCTGTGCAATTTCCTCACAGAAAAAGAAGAGGTATGGTTTGATTTGCTGTGTTTTACGGTATATCAACCTCAATGGGTTATGTAAATGCCAACAACTTTTTTTTCCTGGTAATATTTTGGTTTGTCAAAAATCTATTTCTGGTAATATTTTTTTCCTCAAAAATGTATAGCTGGTAGTATTATTTTAAAACATGTATTGCTGGTAATATTTTTTTTTCAAAAACGTATTGCTGGCAATATTTTTTTCCAAAAATTTCTTCAAAAATGTATTTCTGGTAATAATTTTTTACAAGATCTTTTTGGTATTAAAACCTATTTTTACACTTTTATAATGCTTCTTACCTCAGTTTCGGGGTTAACTATTTGCCCATAGCTGGGGCCCTAACAAGTGCTACCACCCCGGATCAGGGTGGAACTGGGAACACCAGCAATTAAGAGGTGGTTCCACGCTCCTCAAAACCTTGCTGTTCGATGTAGTTTATCGTCATACCCGGGACGCGGATGTAGTTTATCGTCTTACCATGGACAGAGACAAAGAAGAGGATTGGGGGAACGGAAACGTACTTATAGAGAAGGATGCTGAGAAAACTATGGTCGGAACATATGAGTTACTAACAAGTTTTAGGGAAAATGTAAACAAATAAGACACTTACACATCACACCAGCAAGAGGTAGTTGAAATTTCTAGGGCACATAAAGAGGAGAGAGGGCTTGGAAAATTTAACACTCATTGGTTATATTGAAGGCAAGATGGATAAAGGAAAATAGTGAATAACCTACATAACAAGTTAGTTTGCATAAATGGCAGAACAGGGATTTGGAGAGACGGCAAAAAGACAAATATTTCTACGAGCTACAAAGGGGAAGAAGTTGTGGAGACCCATAAAGAAGAAGGAGTAGTAGGAGTAGTAGGAGGATCACAAGAAGTAGAAAAAGAGGAGGGGGAGAGAAGCAGGATCACAAGAAGAAGAAAAATAACAAGTACAAGAACAAGAAGAAGGGGAGAATCAGGATGATAATAATAATAATAATAATAATAATAATAATAAATTGTTATTAAAAACCACAAACAAAAACGGTGCCTCCTTGTTGATATGGCAGTCCGTGCTGACTGCAATGTATCTTTGAAGATATTCAAAAAGCTGTCAAAATACAAGGACCTTGAAATAGAAATCTCGAAAATGTGGCACATGGGAACATCAACAATCCCTGTTGTAGTTGGAGCCCTAGGATTGGTTGGAAATATTGCAGTAGACTAATTGAAGGGATTCCTGAAAGTCCATGCCTCAAGGAGATACAAGAAATTGTTCTGACAAGTACAGCCCACACTTTACGAAGGGCTTTATCTATGTAATTTTTTTTTTTTTTTTT